GTAGTAGTAAAATTAGAATTATAAAGTTGCAATGGAAATAATGTTATGGTTGGGGGTCACCACAACATGAGGAACTGTATTAAAGGCTCTCGGCATTAGGAAGGTTGAGAACCACTGCTCTAGAATAAAATGACTACTTGAAAATGGAGGAATAAACTTTCCTTATTCATTCTGTGTCAAGGAAGAAATTCAGACCATGATAGGCCACTTAGAGACTTAATAATGACACTAAATATAAAGCATAAATACAGCCAAAATTGTACTTAAAAGAAGAGTTTGAGCCTGAAAACTCTTTCAATTTTTAATGAAGAAGAATGGGAATAAATTAACTGGATCGTCCATTCAAGCAGCTTGGGAGTCGGGCATGACAGGAGCTGGTATTTGGTGGTTATTTGAGGTCTTGATGGAACAGTTCTGAGGGTGGACAACACCACCATGATGTAGGAACTGCTTCTCTCGCTGCCATCTTTCAGAGAGGAAACAGAAGCACAAGGAGATCAGATAATATACTGAGCACTCTAGTTTCAAATGGGGGGCACAGACCCAGAAAACAGCTTTGAGGGTCTCCATTCCCTGTGCCTAACTAGTAGGCAGCACAGGCACGCAGTCACTAGGGAAAGCAGAGGCAGTGATGGTGGAGAAAACCCTGGCAGAACGGATGATCGAACCTACAACCTTCTTTCTGATGGTAGAACACTAGCATCAAAAATGCTCAGCCTGGTAGCAGAGGTCTGTAGCCCCAGCCAATTGGGAAACTAAGGCAGGAAGGCCTGACCAGGTGATTTAGTGAAAACTTGTCTCAAAACAAAGAGAGGTTAGGGAGATGGTTCAGTTGGTAAACTGTTGCTGCATCAGCATGAGGATTTGAGTTTAGATCACTAGCATCATGTGAAAGCCAGGCGTGGTGGTTCACATCTGTAATCCCAGCATCTGGGGTGCAGAGACAGGTGGATCCCTGCAGCATGGTAGTCCCTAACCTAGCAGAATCAGCAAGCTATCAGGTTCATTGAGGGGCTCTGTCTTAAAACAAACAAACTAACTAACTAACCAACCAACTAAGAAGTAAGGTGGAGAGCTACTGAGGAAGATACTCAACATTGACTGCTGGTCTCTACAAGCCTGTGTATGCATATCACCACACACACACACACACACACACACACACACACACACACACACAGGTAAAAAGATAGTTACATAGCTCAGTGTACAGTAGTTATCTAGCATGCAAGTGACCCTGTGTTCCATCCCTAGTACCAAAAGGAGATACATTAAAAATAAAATAACAGACAACAAAGATGAGTCATTCTAAAAATCATTCTGAGGAGTCATGGAAAACAACTTTGGTGGTTGTGAGGAACTCTTGGAGTGGGGGTGGGAAGGAGGGAGAGGGAGAGGGAGAGAGGATGCTGGCTGGAAAGGATAGCTATCAGCACTTTATTTCCTGGTGTTCTGAAAGTTCTAGATGCAGAAATACGATAAGGAGGGGGAAGGGGCATGTGTGTGTGAAAGGAGAAAAGAAAAATACGATTACTCGGAATAATGCAATTTTCTAGGTAGGATTCTAAAGGCAACTAAAAACTCAAATCAATGATTATGAGTTTGAAAAAGGCTACAAAATCTTCACACTGGGATTGCATTACTCTCCTACATGTAAACAGCCAACAGTTGGAAAACACAACAAAAAATGCGCATTAAAACAGGGATCCCTCAGATGATCCATTTTAAGAACTGCATAGGGATAGTATGGAGAGAATTAAAGGCTCTCTGGTAGATGTGAAACAAGATTTTAAAAAAACAAGGAAGCAATCAATTCCTGGGGGAGTGATTTGTTGTAAAAGTGTCAGTTATCTTGAATTTTAATTTTGAAAAGTAAGGTAGTTTAATGAAAGTCCCAATTATGTTTTATTTTATTTTTGGAGGATGGACATTAACTTATTGTGGCTCCAATAAAATTCCCATTGGTATTTTTAAACCCTTGATAAACTGCTTCTGAAGTTCACTTGGAAGAATAAGCCCGCAACAATAGCTAAGAAAATGCGGACAATAAGGATAACAAGGGAGGACTCACGGAGCTGGGGTCCAGCATGTTATAAAGGTGCTGCAGTCACCCACCACCCCACCCTCGCCTTGACAGATCAGAGGACAAAGCTGAAGGCCTGGAGAGAAGCTCGGTGTCTATGATTATTGAACACTTAATAAACTTGGCAGTAGCAATCCATGCAGAAGGACAGAATTGAATCAATCAAGGCTGCTCTGACAACTGGGTACCTATGGCGAGGTTAGATTCCCAGTGCTCACTAGATTGCAAAAAAAATTACAGAGGGCTTAAAGAGCTTGAAGTAGAGACGGCATCAAACGCAAGTATTAAAACGTCCTCACATGTGTGGTTTGGGGAATGGAGAGAGTCCCCAGTTGGTTGTTTGTCCAATTCAGAATGCTTTCTTTACACTAGTTTTCCTTACACTGCTTTGAAAGCTGCACGTGGTATTTTTATCTTATTTTCTCCTTAATTTCTCATTTTGTTATTGTTAATATTTGTAGTTTGGATGTTACACACCCTCTGCCACAAATGTGTTGGTACAGTGTGTGTGTGTGTGTGTGTGTCAGGATTCAGTTCTCTCCTACTGTGGGTTGCTGGGAGTAAGCTGAAGTTGGCAGGCCTGTGCAGCAGGTGCTTGCACCGCTGAGCCATCTCACCAGCCACCCCCATCTTAATTGTCAACACACTTAGATTAGCCGTCCATGCAGTTCATCAACATCTTGCACACTCTCTTGGGGAACATAGGCAGCGGCACATTCCGTGCTGCAGTCCCTCCTATCCTGGTGTTTTGTAACTTAGCCTCTCTCTGTTGGTTTCTGTCTCTGTCTTAAAATTTTATTTTATGGAAGAATCAAGCATATATAAAAGAAGACAGATTTCCATTAAATCCTTGCATGTCTCCCAGGAAGGTTTAATGATGAGTCATAATGATCAAGTTTCTTTCTTTCTTCTTTTTCAATATATCACCCTCCTGAGCACACCGAATTACTTTGAGTTATTTTACCCATAAAGCTTTTAAAGATGTAGCCCTCCAAGAGAAAGATGCAGCTAAAATAACCACCACACCACTACCATAGCAAAGGTATTTGTTCCCTAATATTAATAAGAATAATTGCATAGTATCATAAAAACCAGGTGAATAGATCCGTTTTCCCGATTATCCCAGTGAATTTTTAATATTGCTGTTTTATTCAAATTAGGATTCTAATGACATAGGCATAATGCCTTTAGTGAAGATGTTTCTTATACTTCTTTGGATATAGGCTTCTCCTCTTATTTTCTCCCTGTCTTTTTCTTCCCTTGTTTCTTGTTGGAGACTCTATATTGGCTTTTTGTGCAGTTGCCTATGTTCTGAGAACTTGGAAGGGGTGGGTGGGTAGTGACTGCCTACCAGTAATACCATCAAACATGTTCCTGGCATTTGTATTTTCTGTGAATTTGTAATAGAAACCTTAAGCCTATCCCTAGATAAATGTTCACAGACACTGTGCATTGTCAGTAGCTACTGATGACGATGGGCCCACACAATCACACTTCTATGAGTAGCTTGAAATTGTCTGCTCTGTTTGTTGAATGTGTGCTTTGCAAAAGCTCTGGTTGAGCCCTAACTCAATCCATCCTTTAGGAGCCCAGGAATCTAGAGGATGCAGAAGATTTGAGAAACAAAACTGAAAAATGTCCATTTTATAATGTATCTACTCACTGACTATCCCTTCCTCAAACCACTGTAGCCCTGAGATAGTGCAGTCATGTCATAGATGCATTGAGCTCACATGATTTCAAATGTATGTTCATATGGTTTTGGTTGCAAATTACAAGCAGCGTTGAAGCCTCATTGTCCTCCCTCTTCCACCTTTACACCCCTTCCTCCTTTCCCCTCCTCTTTCTTCTACCTCCCCTCTGTTTTCCTTCACCTTCTGGCCCTTTCTCCTCCTCCTCATTGTCTCCTCCTCCTCTTATCTCCTCCCTCCCCTATTTCCCCTTTATTCTGCCCTCCCTTTCATCCTCCTCCTTCCTCCCCCTGCTCCCCCCTCCTCCTCTCCATCCCAGAGTTTCCAACATGCTAAGCAGGCACTCCGCTCTTAGCTCCACACCCAGCCTGTAACCTGTTTCTTCTACTCCTACACTGACCTGACATTGATCTGGTGAGATGAACACGCCTCTGCCAATCTTGCTCACTGTTCCTCCACACCCTTCCTGTTCTAATCATCCCTCCAGGTAGGAGCCTAATGCTTAAAGACACATGTTTCTTGTGCATTATGAACATAAATAGCAGCCAACTACTTCATCTGGTACTTGCTCTAAAAAACAGCATCCTATTTCCAAACCAATAAAAGGCCAGGCACTCTTAAGAGATCTTTAACTTAGGGTGTGTGTGATTCTTAGCACATTAGTTAAATTGATTTTTCATGTGCATACAAGTGTGTATATTGTGTATATGTGTGTATTGTATGAGTGCAGGTCCCCAGTAGAGGTTCATGCGTGTGCGTGTGTGTGCGTGTGCGCATGCGTGCTGAGGCCCAAAGTTGACATATGATGTGTCCCTCAGCCGCTCTCTACTTTCTTTATCGGGGCAGGCCTCTCTCAATTTGGAGCTAGCCAGTTCCAGCTAGTCAGCTGAATAGCTGACAATGGGGATCCCTATCTCTGCCTCCTGAGAGTGGCTAGGATTACAGGGAGCCACCTTGCATGCCCAGTAGGGTCTGGGGATCAGTCACCAATCTTCACAATTATGTGCCAAGTACTTTACCCACTGAACTGTCTCCCAAGCCCCTTACTTAACTTAGACATCCAATGCCTATGCAGATGTCACATTAGGGTACCAACAAAGTCCAGGAGGTAGAAGCTAATGTTATTTTGCATGCTGTCTTCACATGGAACAACTAATGGCTTCTTCCTCCCCTTTCTCCCATGTTCCCATCCCTTCCTTTTCCCACCCCTGTTCTCTCTTTTGCAGTCTGCTGCTTTGTTGTGCACAAGCGCTGCCATGAATTTGTCACATTCTCCTGCCCTGGTGCAGATAAGGGCCCAGCCTCTGACGTGAGTACCCAATAGTAGCCAACCCTTCTTGGTTTGCAGCTACTTCAATAGTTTGCTTTCAGTGGGGAAAGTGGAGATGGGGTGTGGCTGGGCAGGACAATGGGTAGGTCTCTATTATGATCTTGGTTAGTGGCTGCCTTGGCACTGGGGCCTAGAGCACAGTGGGCATGGCTTTATCATTAGTGATTCCACAATAAGGCAGCTTTTCAATACATTTTCTACCCTTTGTCTTAATATCAGGGTCCATGGATCAGAAGAATGACTTGAGCCTGCTACTATTCATTCAAAAGTATTATCTGGGTGCAGTAAAGCGCACTATAACCCCACGCCCAGAAAGCTGAGGGTTATGAGTTACAGGTCAGCCTGGGCTACATTGTGCAGTCCTGTTTCAAACAAGCAAAACAAACAACCAAAGTACAACTACTGTTAATGGGACAGGAGATGCTTTGTAGGTAAAACAGACAAGTACTTTTCATTTAATCACTATATATTTTAGTATGTACCAAGAAAATATATTTAGTAAAATGGTCACACTTCTGGTATGGATACAAAAATTCCCATCTAAGTAAAGTTATTTAGTTTAAATAAAGTTAAGTCGACTTACAGACAATATTAAGTCACTGACATGATGATTGATATCAGGATAGGCCTGAGTGTTTTGGTGTAGTTTGTCTGAAGTTTGGGGTATTTATTGGTTCTCTACATAACAGCCATTCTCAGCGCTGACTTCCTTCCTTTGGCCAGAGGCCACCACTAGTACTAGCATTTTCACTAGATGGTGAAAATTCCTGATACCTGGCTTTTTTTAGGCTGGTAAACAAACTTATGTAACCCAGGGGTATGGGAGAGGGCTTCTAGGGAAAGACTTTTCCATTAAAGAAATACATCCCTCACCTCTTCATTGCCCTCTTGGATGTACGTGTGTGTGTGTGTGTGTGTGTGTGTGTGTGTGTGTGTGTGTGTGTGTGTGTGATGCTTAGGGTTGTGGCAGACTTTTGTGGCTAATGAAAGAGACATCTTGAGCATGGTGTCTCAGAAGAGCTGCAGGAACTTGGTATCATCAATGATGCTAATAGATGGAGTCACTTCTGAGTCTCCTCATCCTGCAGCTGGACAGGTGAGGTAAGAAGTTTGTTATTTACAATATGCAGCCCAAAATGCCTGAATTAACAGGTCTTTCCTCTGTGTAGTCTCCCATTGCCCAGGAGTCAGCTAGCTCTTGTACTGTTTCTGCTTTGCTTATCTTGGAATTTTTCTAATTTGTCTTTGTCTCCCACACCAGTCTTGTTTCCTATTTAAAATTGATGGCTAACTGGGCTGATTGTGGTGGCACATATATTTAGTCCAGAACTCAGGAGGCAGAGGCAAGCAGATCTGCATTTGAGGCCAGCCTGGTGTGCAGAGCAAGTTGCAGACAGCTAGGGCCACACAGAGACGTCCTGTATCAAAACAAAACAGCCAAAACCAAAGCAAAAACAACAACAACAACAAAAAACCCTTAAATTTTGAACTGGACAGTGGTGGCACATGCCTTAATCTCAGCAGAGGCAAGTGGATCTCTGAGTTTGAGGTCAGCCTGGTCTACAGAGTGAGTAGGTCATTCAGGGCTACATAGAAAACCCTGTCTTGAAAAACAAAACAAAGCAAAACAAAACAAAAATAATTGGTGGCTGACCTCAGCTTGCCCCATAAGAAGAAGCAGCTGCCTTCTGGCAATGAATTTCTTTGACTTCTACTTCTCTTCTGCCTGTGGTCATCCATTTGCCATTTTGCTGCAGTTCAGGAGTAGGGTGTAGTAGAGATTCAGGTGATATCTGTTGCCATAACAACAATAACAGTCTAGTCTAGAGTTTGTGTTGCTGATACATGGCTTTGGAAATGTAACGCTTATGCTTGCAGTTGAGAATTACAAGGAACAGGAACCACACACAGTTCTTTCAGGTCTGAGACAGAACGTGGTTTATATAAGATTATATGAAAGGGAAATTTTTTGGCTTCTAATATCAAAACTTCCAAGGGTAGACCTGGCATGGTAAGTCAAACTGTTTCAGTGAAATTCTTGGGAGTCTCCTTCTTCACTTCTTGGATCAGCATTCTTCAATTTGACTCATTTTAGGAAGATTTTTCCTCCTGTGAGAATACAATGGTGATGACACCTTTCCCTTTCTCTTTTATCAGCACAGCCACTCTAGCAAACATAGTGGCCAGAAGGATGGGCTGTACTAATTTACAAGCCCTGATCATGTGTTGTGATGATCTGAATGCTTTGTCTCTCTTCAAAATCATGTTCAAATTCTAACCCCCAAGTGATGATATTAGAGGCAAGACTTTTAGGAAGTGATCAGGTCAAGAACGGGGAGCCTTCATGTATGGATGATATCCATGCCTTTAGAAAAAGGACCTGAGAGATATCTCATATCCTCCACCATATGAGGTACACCAAGTGTTTTAGTTAGGGTTTCTATTGCTGTGAAGAGACACCATGACCATGGCAACTCTTATAAAGGAAAACATTTAATTGGGGGGGGCTTTCATTTTCAGAGGTTCAGTCCATTATCATCATGGTGTGACATGGTAGCATGCAGGGAGATATGGTGCTGCAGAAGTAGCTGAGTGTCCCACATCTTGCCTTGCAGGCAACAGGAAGTGAACTGACCACTGGGCAGTATCTTGGACATATATGAGAACTCAAAGCTCATCTCCATAGTGACACACTTCTTCCAACAAGACCACACCTCTTTATAGTGTAACTTCCTTTGAGAGCCATTTTCTTTCAAACCACCATACCAAAACAATAGCAATGTAAACAGAAATGGGCTCTCACCAGATACTTGGTCTGCCATTCCCTTGATCGTGGCTTCTAAAACCACGATTTTTAAAAGGATTTTTAAAGAGTTTAGTAGCCCAAACAGACTCAAACAGGAAGTTTTGTGCAAGAATGGGTTTAGATGAATAGAAATTCAGGGGTAAGATTTCCAAAGTGACTCTGAAATTTCTGAAATCTAGGCAAGGCTCTCCAGATGGCTGTAAGGATTCTCAAAATCAGCATTAGTGTATGCTGTTTCTCTGATAGCCAAGATCCTGGCACCAAGTGGTGGAAATTAGAGTGGTATCATTCACATTTATTCCTAGTGACCCATCTGCAAGCGTGTGGGTTCCTCTCTCCAAGGCACTGTCCTCTGATAGCCTCGAAACTTTGTCTCTTCTGGAGAAGAGAAAAAAAGAGACCACTAATAGTTCTACTCTGGGCTTCTTATGCCTCTGACAGGAGTAATGAACCTTGCTGAATTAAGGATGAGGGTCTCTCCTAATAGGGGAGGAAGGAAAAGTGTGCCTGGAACACAGAGCTTCTCTTAGGACACCACCATGATTAGGGTCTACAGAAAACTCCAGTAACCCAACCCAGACAGGATTACATGACCCAGACCCTTTAGGAATGGAGGTTTAGATCACTCTATTAGGCAAAGAACCACCATCCACGGAGGTATTTGATTGACAGCAGAGGGGACATAGAATGAGTAGAAGAGAGTTACAAGCAAGCACCACCTATAACCTTGCAACCAGTTATAGAAATGAAGACTGTCATTACCATGTGTGTTCTGTTATGAATACATTTTGTGTATGTATGCACCTGTATTAAACAAGTACCTATTTTCTTTCTCCTCTTAGTCTTTTGTCATGGATGTATTGACTTCATGTCAGTGCTTTACATCTTAGTATTTAATTACAGAGTATCAAGAGAAGAGTAATAAGCACCCAGAGGCTTTACCTCATTCCCAGGGGAAGAGATTAGTGTATTTGTGGTTAATGCATTAAATCATTAACGATTTAATGATATCATCAAACAGAATTATGACTTCATAGTTCTTTATTCTAAAACTAAGTATAATCCAAAGAGGCAAATACCAAGTTCAAAAAGGATGGATTTACAATGGTTGATTTTGCAAGTATCAGCTTGCATGGGCTAAGGGATGTCCCAAGAGCTGGTAAACCAATTTCTAGGTTGGTCTTTGAGGGGTTTCCAGAAGAGTTTAGTGTTCAAGTCAGGAGACAGAGTAAGGAGCATTGCCCTCCTCTGTATAGGTGGGTAGCTGTCAGTCTGTTGAAGATACAGGTAGAAGAAAAAGGCACACAAAAGGTGAATTAACTCTGTGTTTGAACTAGGGCATCTATATTTCTTCTGCCCTTCAGTATCAATACACTGAGATCTGAGATCTTCAGTTTTGGTCCAGGATGAATACCATGGCTTTTCTTCTTCTCTGGCCTTTGGACTTGTCTTTGGTGGAAATGTACTATTGGGGCTCTTGATTCTCCAGTTTGAAGATGGAAGATCATGGGATTTCTCGGCCTCCATCATCATGGAAGCTGACTCACATAGCCAATCTATATATCTATAGCTACATCTCTCCTCTTGGCTCTGTCTCTCTAATATATGTATCTGTTCCCAGAGATGAGAGTTTGTATGTTCATTCCATGGGTAAAGAGTGGGGATAGACGACCTCTTAGAGAAATCCTAGAAAATCAATATTGTGCACTGGTTAAAACTATAGACTAAAGAATAAACTATACATTCAGCCTTCTTAGATATAAACCTGAGTAACCTTGGGGTAACTATTTTAAATCTCTTAAATTCTTCAGCTGAAAAATGGGTAAAATGATAGCCCCTACCTTACAGCATTGTTATGAAAGTCAAATGAATAATTATCTATGAAAACTCTTAGAACAGTGTTTGGTACAGGCTTTATATAGATGATGATGATGATAATGTTGTTGTTGTTGTTGATGATGATGATGATGATAACAATGACTACATACGTGCATGTGGGTGGGTAGCAGGAACAGACCAAGCAAATCTAGGAAATGAACAGACTTTCTGTTGACCATCTGGCAGTCTTTCCTAAGAGTGTGAAGGCTTCATAGGCAGCATAAGGACAAACCCTTCTCTGTATGAATGGGGCAATTCAGCCATTCCTTGTTATAGGCATGGAGAGAGCAGAGAG